AGTAAAGTTTATAGTGACGCGTGAGGCTTCCTTGGAAACAATGGATCTCTTCTTGGAAACAGTGGAAGAATCACGCTTTCTTGGGGAACTTTCTGGGGAGAATTTGAATTTTCATTCCACAGTAGGCTGTAAGAGTTGTCATCACAAGCTGTCATCGATGTCAGAAAGATTTGTCTTTGTTGGCTGTATCTATTTAGCATTTTGGTGACAACATTCATTTATTTTTGCTAAATATCAATAAACAATGCAAAATAATAATGCGTTTTCTTCCTGGAAATACTGAACAATCACAGAGAAGTAAAAAATTATAGGCAACCAGTAGCACCGAACTACTCTGCTGCAACCTGTTATTATTTTCCAATTATCCTTTTAAATTTGTGTAGTATCTCTATCAAATGCATAACTTCCTCGATAAGTTTTTTTTTTAATAGTCACACATTATAATTTAGATTAATATAAAATTGGGGTATAAAATGTGTTTCCTTGCGAAATGCTGTAGTAGTTGAACTTGACAGACGTAATCTACAATCTGCAACCAGCAGTGCAGTTCGGTGTATCTGGTTGCATATATTCAGTTTTTTACTTATCTGTGATTGCACTGAAATTCGAGGAAGCAAACACATTATTAGTATGCATTATTTATTGACATTATTTAGCACAAATGAACCAACCAAATATCAGTTACAGTGTGATTAACCTAAAATGCGACTGTTATACTAGCGCGGGACCGTTGCTTGATCAAACTACAATTTCGCCATTGTTGAATTATTTCCTATTATATTTATCTTGACAACGGACTTGCATCTATACTTCACAGGGCACAGTAGAACAAGTTTACGGTAGTACCTTATACATTTTACATGCTCATGAGAACATATCCCAACCAAAATTACCGCAAAGCCTTTAAAATATATCATTTTATTCTCAAACTGAAAATTTTGCTTTCAACAGTTGGAAATTGTTAAACTGGACTAGCCTACGTCTTTAGACAAAAAAAAAGGCTGTAATGCAGAACGCATTGCGCCTGTATTCAATGAGCGGCGCCTCAAATCCATCGTTTAATACAAAAAAAACTTAAACCGCCGAAAATGGACTTTGGTTAGTCCACCATTAATGCAGTCAATCCAATATACCGATGAAGGATGAGACCATCGCGTATTTTGTTCTGATTTTTTGTTTTGAGTTTAAACCCTTGTAACTCTAAAATGTACAAATGTTGTGCGTTTAACAACGCCGGCACGATCGATACAATCCACAGCTTTGCTGATGACTACACTTTACAGGCATGCGTCCAGAGTGTCAAGTCCATCTCCGCCAATGAGCTGGAGATAAGAAGACCGACTTATCCTGTGACGAGGGATTTGAAACTATATGTGGATACCGCAATCTGGCGCAGTTTAATGGTTCCAAAACACAGTACAGTACCAGGACTAACAAGGAGTGTCCTATGCTTACATCCAGATTCAATAGATGGTAGAACTCTGCCGCGGAGCCATTTCTTTCGGCTGGTCGGAGTTCAGATCATCGAGAGGTTGATTTGGCACGAACACATCAATCGCGGCAGGTGCTAGGAGAAAGTTGGGTTAGATATTTGTTTAGGGTTAAGAAGCACTTTTCTCCACATAACCTTATACCCTCTTCAAGACCCAGAAAAGACTCAGCTCCGAGTACTGCTCACAAGTTTGGGATGCTGCTGCTACTACTACACTCTCTAAACTCGATGAAATTCAGAGAAGGGCTCTGCGATTGATCGATGATACTGCTCTAAAAGACGATCTCGGGTTACCTCCACACCGGCTGGAAAATTATCAGGAGCATCTGAGACACCAAAAAATGATTATTACCTCCACCGGATCGACTTTCAAAAAGTACAAAGCCTTTTCATCCTAGATCGTAACCGTGTGTCAAAATTTCATCAAAATCTGACCAAATACTTCCAAAGTTATAGCAGGGCCAAAGATTAGCGGATAGACTCCCTTCAACATACGAGGTCTGTAAATTAAGTGATGAGACTGATTTTTTCAACTATTTTATTCAAATATAGTTACAAATTCAAATTGTCACCCTCAAAATAACTTTATTTTGAAGCCACACAGCGCTGGAGACGGTTCTTCCACTCCTCATAGCACTGCTGAAACTCCGATACTGGAATAGCCTCCAGCTGGTCGATTGCAGCGGATTGAATGTTTTCGACTGTCCCTTGATGTGATTTTTCAACTTCGGGACGAGAAAAAGGAGGCAAGATAGGTGAAAAAGGAGGCAAAAGGAGCCTGAGGAGCCACAGGAATATTTATTTTTGATGGCCAAAAACTCTATTGGTGTGAGTCAAATTTATTCTGACTGTTAACCGAAAATCACAAAATTCCGAATTCTGTCAATATTTTTATCGGTTCGTGAAGATAAAGGCCTTCCGATTCGTGGTTCATCTTCAATCGACACTTTGCCTTGTAAAAATGCCATAAAACCACCGAAAAACCCGAGCTATTGACAAAACTCTATCTCTGTAGGCCTGCCGAAATCTAGCAAGAGTTCCCTTTGCACTGTGCCCAAGTCTGAAGCAAAACCTGATAGCACATCGTTGCTCAAAATTCATTCATTTTTTTTTAGGAAAAACTGGACAACGACTCGAGCGGTGTCAAACTTGTACTGAAGGCGCATCACATGTCCCTCTGTAGCACCACCTCAAGCCGGCGTATCCAGTCTTGCCAGATCGAACGCTACGGTGCCAGTCTTATCACTTAATTTACAAAACTCGTACTTTTGGCGTAAATATGTAGATACATAGCCTGACAAATTTAAATACCAATGATAGCAGAAAAAATGATACTTTACCCATATTATATTCTACCAAGTTAATCACTGCATTTACAATATGCACCTGGAAGAACTGATATTTCACAGTGATATATCGGAAACTCGAAAAAACATGCATTTATAAACGATGTGAAAAACAATTTGCTCAGAAATCAATCTATGCTTTGCTCAAAGCTAAGCTGAATCATACACAATGTTCGCAAACAATCATTTCACGATTAAAAACACCTTGTAGGTCCAATGCAAAGGGTCCACCCCAAGCGTGTATTTACACAAGTACTCTAACGTGGGAACGCGAATGTCTCGGAAAGCTTGTTTGGCCGACCGTATGTCTGTCTGTCCGTGTCGCTGGCTGTAATGTATCCCTCTTCTAATCCTAATCCCGATGATGGTGTGTCGCCGGTGGCTCCCGAATTAAAACACTTACAGAACAGATTGGAAAGTAAATGGGTGTACACTGTACCGACAGTGAAGTAGGTAGAATGTAATGAAGAGGTTGTTTTAGTACAGGAGTTCCCAACCAGAGAGGCGCGCCTCCCAAGCGGGGCATAGAGAGATGTCAAAGGGAGCTGAAAGCGTTTGCATTTTAGAAAGAAAGAACAAAAAAAGATAAACAAACAACATTAACAAATAACATTACAATGTAATGTTTAATTTACACGCATAAAATTAGAAATTAAATATCATATTCACTTATTCTGACAACCGTTGTTTCAAAACCCGTCGTCGTCAATCGCAGTTTATACAAGTTTCGACAAGTCACAACATGAAATCCGCACGCACCCCCGCCGCGCTCCGCTTAACATTTATTACTTAGAAAACAATTATTGTGTACCTACCAAACGCGGATGAGCATCTATGACATTAATCAAATTCAAGCGAATAACCAAATGAAAATGGTATTTACCATTTTGGGTTGGTATTTACCGATCCGTTCAAGCGAGTGTGGTGTTCATTTTGGTTATAAGATCCGTGACGTCATGAATCAGCTGTTATATGTCCGAGTTATCACCGTAAAATTGTGGTATTTACCCTACTCCGGAGTAGTTTTATATTTCTGGCTATTATTTGAAATGTGACCAGTTAGAATTTTGGCGGGAGTTCGATATTTTTGAGAAACTTGATACAGGCTAGCTTTAGTTGTAGCATAAAGTAGTGCACATTATTAGATATACTCATTACTGTTGTTGGGGACATTTTAAATCAAGTTCCTATGCTTAACAAAGTATCATGTGTTGCCATATACCACAAGAATATTAAAATATGGCCATATAAACTCACTGGATAATATCCACCTGTATACGGTTTTGTTAATATCTTTTTTCATCTCTTTATCCTTTCATTTCTGCTAAATCAATAAATGTTTTCTTTAACATGCGAAAAAGTTTAGAGAATTGAGGGTTATCATAGCTACAAAGGCATGGTTCCATCGTTCAAACATTTTTCTGAAAAAAAATGTCTCCCATTAATATTATGAAAGGTTTCTTTTTTAATCTTTCCTTACACTGTTCTATACGAAAAAGCACCGATTATTAAATGATAATAAAAATAATCAGAAATTATATACGCGCTTTTCTAAAATAAACAACTTGCAACAAAACCGCGGTTAAAACCAAGGCGTTCAAGCGATTCGAGTAACTGACGTCATCAACCCCTGTGACATCTTAAACCATATTATAACCACGGTACATAATACAGAAATTTTGGTTATTCCCTTGGATTTGATTATTCATTCCCACAAACTTGCGAAAACTTGACATTTCGATATACATGTTTTGTTGAGAAATCTGTTTGAGTGTGTCAAATTATTGTGTCTCACTGTTAAAGGGTAAGTTTGTGTATTTAAAAACATCAATTACCATTTTTATTTAATTTACTAAATTGTTGATTGAGTGGAAACGCGTTCATAGATCCGCCATTGGGACCTTTTTACCACATCACAATCCAACCAACGTGGCGAAACGATTTTGAAACGACGAACTTTAAGTACCTAATATTGATTCCAAACGTATTTAAAATTACTATTATAACGTCAAACTGTCTACAAAAATATAAATCTCCCGGTGGCCAATATACTGTCGAATACATTACGTTATTAAGATAAAATAATGGGCATGTAATGAGTAATTACATGTAGGTGTTTTGCTTATTTATTTATTACTTATTTGTTTCATTGTTATAGGTGCAAAATGACAGTTAAGTTTGGATTTACCTTCAAAGAAAAAGACGAGTTACAATTGCCTCAGTGTGTGATATGTATGAATGTTTTAAGTAATGATCGCATGAGACCCAATCACCTTGAAAGGCATTTGAAGCAACAACATCCTACCCTAGTTTTGAAGACGAAAGAGTTTTTTTCTTCTGAAGCAGAATCACTCAAGCGGATAAGACTGTATAAATCGGAAAGTTATCACACAGGTGTATCGCAGCATCTCAAAGCTCCATTTGAAATAGCTTTTGTGATAGCAAAGCGAAAGAAACCTCATCCTGTCGGTGAAGAATTAATAAAACCATGTGTCCTAAAAGCCACGCAGATAATTTTAGGAGAAGATGCAGAGCAAAACATGAAGTCTATTTCTCTTTCGAATAGCACACTCAAGCGTAGAATCCATGACATTGCAGCAGACATAAAGTCACAAATAATTAACAAAGTAAAATTATCGCCATTTTTTGCCATTAGTTACCATGAATCTACCGACACCGTTAATTGTGGACAGTTAATAGTTTATGTTCGTTACATCGGCGGAGATATCATTTAAGCAGACATTTTGTACTCCCAATCTTTGACAGCAGGTACTAGATCTGACGATATATTTAATTCAATATCAAATTTTGTTGAAAAAAGTGATTTGAATTGGAAAAAGCTCATTGGACTTTGGTGGCGCACCTGCAATGATAGGTGTACGATCGGGCTTAGCTAAAAAGCTCAGGGAAAAAAATTCCGCAATGGTTAGTACACATTGTGTTATTCATCGGCAAGCTTTGGCCTCCAAGACATTGCCACAGAAATTACGCCATACTTTGGACTCGGCTATAAGGATTATAAACTACATCAAGAGCAGCGCTTTGAACAGTCGGTTATTTACTTTACTTTACGATTATGATCACAAAGTTCTTCTGTTCCATACAGAAGTACGCTGGCTTTCCAAAGGCAACATGTTGCTCACCTTGATGAATTGAAAGAAGAGGTAATTCTTTTTCTTGAGTTCGAAGAAAAACAAGATTTCTTGACAATGTTCAAAGATGATATTTGACTCATTGAATGAGCTAAACTTGAAAATCCATTTTTTGTCGATGTGTCACAATTACCAGAAGAGGTTCAGAAAGAATTTCTAGAAATGAAGGCTGATTCGCCCATGAAAGATGACTTCCATCTTTTAACATTGGAGAAATTTTGGATCAAAAGATTGCCTGTTGGACACTTGCCTCTCTTGCTTTACGAATACTAATTCCTTTTTCTCCAACTTACTTATGTGAGACAGGCTTTTCTGCTCTAGTTTTAATTAAAACTAAACAGCGAAATCGTCTTGATGTCGATAGCGACCTGATGATAGCTCTGGCAAAAGCAGAACCTAGAATCAACCAACTGGTACAGAACATGCAATCTCAAGTGTCTCATTAGTACCTACTCTTATTGTATTCAAGTTTTTCGATAAAAAACATTTATTAGTTTATTTAAACTTTTAAAGTTTCTTTATTAGAATTAAAATAAAAGTCTTTGTACCTATATAATGTGCGTTTTTTGTATTTAAAAAGTAGGAGAAGTATAACAAAGTTTACAGATGTCATTTTATGTGCTCAAAATGATACAGTATTTTCGAAATGTACTAAAATTGCCGCAGATTGGGATAAAACACACATGTTCCGGAAACGGTGATAATAAAAACGTGTAACATTATTATTAGCCTTATGGCTTGTAAATTTGCCAAATACTTAATGTGATTAATTTCGGATCAAAGACTAATTCAGTTGGAGGTGTTGGCTTGACATACTTGCGTCGTTAATTTCACCATACTATATCTTTTAATACACTTGACGAGTTCGATTATTGCCTAGGTGTTTGCCTAATGAATCTAGGTTATATTAATTTTCTATCTTTTCGAAGATTTTGTTTATTGTCACCCCACTCCAGATGTTAATCATCTGGTAGTGCATATCATATGAACCACATTCAGGAGTTGAATAGAATCAACAAAACTCTGAACATAGTCTGGATTAAAGGCCACTCTCAAGTATAAAAGAAAACGCGGCGACAGGTAATTTTGCAATAGAGGTGATTATGTTACTTGCATAAATTCCTTTTACTAACGTACATTTTCTAATCAGGCAACAACTAAGGAATACATGGAATAATCGTTAAAAAAGTGGTCCAAAAGGAAGTAAGCTGAAACGAATACAAGAGAGTCTTCGAAGCAGACCTTGGCTTCAAGGTGTTACCAATCGTCCTTACATTAGAACCGTGAGTAGAATAAGAAGTGGGCAATCAAGAATTGGATATGGAGATGATCCACATTGCAGTCGCGCAAATATAGAAACTTTTCAGCACCTCGTATTAGAATGTCCAAATTTTAGCAGAAAAAATGCCGAATTGTATCAATTTTAGCGAAACATTTTCCTTTGCCTCTGAATTCAGAATCAGTTCTCAGTTCTGAGAACCACCAAGTTGACGAACTTTTATACAACATTTTCGGAAAATAGGAGTAACATTATAATTTAATTAAAAAAATTAAATAAATGTTAATTACAATAAGTGTGTTAGAAGGAATGAAAGAAAAAAGAAAAACATTAAAAAAATAGTTCATTATAATAAGTAAAAAACATAGCAAAATGAAAAAGCAATGAAAAGCAAAAACAAGAAAAAGAAAGAAGCAATCTCGTAAACACAGTAGAAAATATGGAACAATAACAAACGGGTTAGTTGAACAAAAAGTTAAAAAAAGCAGCAATATAATTGTGTTCGCATACCCTATGTAACTATAATAGAATTAGAATAATTGTACCGTTATGTATTAGATGTTCTATTTTCTATATATATTGAAAATAAGGGTCATCGTCCAATGCCAATCACAGAACAAACTTGTTGGTTATACTATGTATGGGTTATGAATGATGAAGAAATGAACATCCTGTAGTTGCAACTTGTCCCCATGACTTTATAATGAGGTATGGCTCACCTTTAGTGTCATAAGCTACCCATGTAAGAGCAGGCTGACAGTTGGGTAGGTTATAAAACTTCAGATGGCTAAAACTTCAGTAAGTCGTAAGGATTCTCGGAAGCCCAGTCATTTTATTAAACAGCTTTTCTACAAAATGACGGTTAAAATAGAAGCCCTTTTTTCACCGAAGCATTGGCTACATGAGTAGGGAATTCCAGAACGATATGTTATAAGAGTCATATTACGTCTTATAGCTAGGTACAGACTGCGGAACCGGAACATTGGAGACGGAGATATATTCAGTAATATATTTTGCAAAACCCATTGAAATCGTTTTTGAAAGAAAACAATTTGTGGGCCAGGGTAGTAATTTTTTTGAAACATTCTAATTCTTCAGAAGGTGTGAAAGTGAACATTCATTAATAGCAATAGCTAAGTAATACGGTGAAGTTGTGTCAAACGTCCTAGGTGCATGTTTTCGTGTTTCTTACAGCCCTCTTTGATCTTATTACGTGAGTAGTAAAGTAAGTATCAGTCAGTTCATGTTCACCTGTTGTAGCTGATCGTGTTGCCTGTCATGAAACTTGAGCTATGTGCTGTGACTCTGATGTGATGGCACTAGCCAAGACCATTCATAGCTTCTACTTGTGCAATTCGTCCAAAGGTGGAATTCAATTCCTGATACTATGTTTTCTTGATATGAGCCATACATAACAAAAAGCCATATGACCTATTTCCGGTGCCGTTGTCTGTTCGAATTCTTGGCCCCTCTCTAACTTGGAAGGCAAGGACGGGAAGCTTCATGAGGTTTGGAGTTGGAAAAAGTGTACACGCTTAAAATTCTATCCATATGAATGTTTTCAGAAAATCTCTGAATGCAGTAACAATTTGGGAGTAAGGGTTGTGGGCGCTGGGATATCTACGATTTTTATATTTTCCGTGCGTAGTTTGAAAATGCTTGAGACGTGAATCTACTTGACTCCATTCTCCGAGTAACGTATTTGAGCACTAAATGGAAAATAAACAGAAGCAAAATAAAGTCGCACTACCACTGAAGCAAGCATCGGCGACATTGGTCATTTGCATGCGTCAAACGTCACACGTTGCTTCGCATCGCTCCAGTGCGCGGGCTGCAAATTAATAGTGTGTAAAGGAACCTCAAGTTTCGCTTCTCTCCTTTTCGTTCCTCTTCCTCTCAATGGGTGCCCAACTAACAATTATCACTCCTATTAGAGTTGCAAGAATGATTATACGGTATTCCTTACACAGCATTGTATACTGTAAGAACATTGGCAAAACCCTGTTAGAACAGCTATACAAGCGGAATGGGCACACCTAATAGGACACTTCAGTCATTTAAGAGGTTGTATAAGGGCTGCAGGTAACAGGTATACAACAAAAGTGTAAGCCTCTTGCAGCCGCTATTGAACATTTGCGTCAGTGCAAGATTCAGTTTTTGTCAACTATACAACTATTCTGTTACGTGATTATACTTTATTGCAACTATATCTTATGTATTGTATAGACGAAGTGAAGAATATATAACTAACACAATACAGTCATCTTGTTTGCTTACATATCGGCCATTGTGAATTTCATACACAGGTATATGATACACGTCTACACTATGATGTAGGGCTATTGAATTACTTGAGGAGCAAATTTTATTGTGATTATCGTGCAAAGTAGTTACTCAATTTCTACGGGCTTCGTATTTGATTCATATTTTGATAATGATCAAAAGTATATCTAGATTTTTAAGATGGAAAACTGAACTTATCCGCGTTAAATCTTCCACAAATCGTATATTTAGACACAATTACACTAATGTTTATCACTTTATACCTGTAATTTCGAACTGAAACATAATTATTTAATATCAAATAGAGGAATAAATGTTTGCCCAATATGGCGGGTGGTTGTGTATAATCATGGCATCGTCCATGTTGTCTTTAGTTTATTAGAATATTTTAGTGTTGCCTGCAGGTGTTATACAACAATTTGACAAATGGCAGAAATGAAATACCGACAGAGTCGAATGATTTACCTAGAATTTGTACCAGATCTATATCTTCTGTTTGAACAGTAGATAAAACCTTTTTAACCAATATGCATGCGTTGTTTGTCTTAAAACATTGGTTATGGCATTTTAACTAAAATATGACAGCAGAAAGTTAGGTTATGGTGAAGTTGTATACCAACATATTTAGCAGTTACTAAACAACAGTTGTATAAGTGCTTCCGTTGGGAGCAATTTGTTGGCTGAAGTAGTAAATTTGCATAGCAAAACAACAAGGCTCGGGTTTGTTTTATAAACGTAACCATGGATGCCACAACACAACCATTTTGACTAACCTGCAAATATGCCGTATAAAATAGTTGTATAAACGTTTATACATCAGTTAAAAATTTGTCCTATAAGGTGTTGTGCAACTATGCTATAAGAATATTTTAACACCTCATTTTAGAGCAAATATGTTGCAGAGAGCAAATTTGCATTCCACGCAACATTAAGCCAGCATTTTGGTGTTCAGGCAAAAACAATAGAGAGCTTTTATGGCTGAACGGTTCTTTTACCAAAAGCTTATAGCACTACTTTGCTAGTTGGGCGTGAACCTTAAAAGTGCATTTATAAGATCTACTCTGGATGCGCCACTGCCTGCGAAATCCGAGCTCAATCCTAACGTTATTTACGAAGCAGTCCGACGG